GCAAAACTCTGAATAGGTGCACTGTAAGACTTCTGTCCCTTGGGTGCAATCCAAACCCCAATACTGGGTTCTGTTGTAGTTGTTGGTACATTGTAAGAAGGTGAGGACTCTATGCCATACTTCTTTTGGTAGTCAGAGTCCACATGGACACTTGCTTGTGTACTGACCACAACTTGGGCAAATCCCAGGTCCAGGACATTATTGGGTGACTCTTGATTTGATGTCACCTGGTTGGTTTGTATCATGTGCTGCTTGTTGCTGGATTGTTCCTTGACCTCTTCTTGGTCTTCATGGGTCACGGAATGCCTGTATTGTTGGATGTGCTTCCTCGTGTTTGCAATTGCCTCATTGTAATTTGAAACTACTTGAGGGTTATGCTTCTGCGATAAAACAAAGATACAAACATTCAATTACTGAAGAGAAAAATGATTTCAAATTGAAAGAAAACAGCAGAATATGCGTTCATAGAACCATCTCCGATTGAAAATTTCCGGTCGCCAATTAAGATTCGGATTTTTCACTTTGACTTCAATTCTAGAACAATAAAATGTATGTTAAAAGCCGTTATTTAGTGTTAGAATGAATTTGAATGGAATTTTTCCAGCAAGTCTGAACATCTTTCAAGAATTTTAAAATCGTATATCGTAGAGTATAAAAATATGCCAAATCAAATAGTGATTTTAAACGTGTTTCACGAGTGTATAGTAATTTGTAGTTATCATATTGCGTGAACCTAAGTTTCCTCATTGAACTGCAAAAATTGGAAGCTTATCAATTATAGCATCTTTCAAAAAGCGCAGTTTGCCGGAAATGATAAACCCGTTTCAAGAACTGAATTCACATCATCCAAGTCAAGATGCTTTCGATGATAAATGCGTCAAAAATTGTTTTTTAAAAGAGAAAATTCAATTTCTTTCGCACTTTTTTTAAAAAGATTGTTCTCCTTTTCCTCCGTTTAATAAATCGTGCTCACCACCACTTCTGAGGCTGTTTGCCTGGTGAATATCATCCCATCACCGGGGTTCTTGCTGTAGAACCCACGAACCCCGAATGAGTTCGGGATCCTCTGTCGCCCATAATTGCGACGAGTACCTGTCGCAGTACTGCTGTAGTCCGTGGGATGCCTGCCTGTCGAATTGTAAGTCAAATGAGTTTGGGATCCTCTGTCGCCCATAATTGCGACGAGTACCTGTCGCAGTACTGCTGCAGTCCGTGGGATGCCTGCCTGTCGAATTGTACGTCACTTTGGCCCTGTATCCGTTCTCGTCAGCATCATAGGACACGATTTGCAGTCTTCCGTCCGGCAACATGACCCGATATTCCCCTTCTGTGTTGACCCCGTCCCGACCTTCTCGGTGCGAAAAGGTGTCGTCCACGTCCCACTGGAAGCTGTACTTGGAGTGCTTTCGAATAATTAGAAAGTTTGCAAAATAAAGAAGAGAAACTTTCTGTATACCTAATCCACAAAAAAAAAAAACGCAGACAGGAAAGGGGAAGCAACGAAGCTCTAATTATCCAGACAAAAATGACTGCTTACTGTACTTTAGCACAGTTGATCCTTGAAGTGAAATTCACGATTTGGCTTCACATTATTCCCCAGAAACACCAAGTACAGTATGCGAAAAATGTGATGTATTGCACGACCCATAATGGATATCTGAGGACGAGGAACTCTGGCTTCCATATGGGCTTTTGCTTCGGATAATGGACTGCACGGAGATTTCTTTCAACACTTGGGAAATTCTGATGAACATGCAGCATTTATTCTCTGTGCTCGTTTATTTTGTTTTCTCTGTGCTCGTTTAAAATCGTATTCTTCATCTTATCACCGATTATCTTTTTCGTCTTACCAAATTCAAGAACGAAAACAGAATTTTACAATCTGCAAAAATCGGCATATCGAGTTCTAAAGTGAAAATGAGGACGTGGCATAATCGAAATACTGTATGTACACTTGCCAAAATTTTAGGTAATGCCAACAATAATTCTTCATTCGGAAGAGAACGAGATCTCTGGAACAAAACTCCAGAAGAAAAGACATCAGGCATGATTAAAATTTGTGCGGAATTTTTTCTTGAGAACAGAGGAAGGTTAGAAATCGACGCATTTTTTAACGCGCCTCGGGGCGCGTCTTCAGCTAAAAGAAACCAACCCTTCAACAGGGCATCAAAATTAAATTAAAACATAATCGAAATACTGTATGTACACTTGCCAAAATTTTAGGTAATGCCAACAATAATTCTTCATTCGGAAGAGAACGAGATCTCTGGAACAAAACTCCAGAAGAAAAGACATCAGGCATGATTAAAATTGGTTGAAAACTTTATTTCTGTAAAAGAAAATGTAAAACATATTGCGTTTTGTGTGCGTGTGTCAAGTGAATGATTTCACTTATATACTAGAAAGGATGCTCAATACTACTGAAGTTTATCCAATATTCTCGAATATTCTTCCCCTCTTTAAGTGAAATAAATTAGACTATAATCCGAATCAATATTGAAATCCCGTCACGTTGGGACTCAATCTATCATTGACAATAACACTCAGAAATTCCTGCAAAAACTTTAAATAATCGTCACAAACATTATAGACGCTGAAGGCGTATACAGTATATACAAGGATTTTCCATCAAATTCTGTTGCCACAAAAAACCTAACAATAAGTTACTGTATACTTCGTGATTTCAAATGGATCACAGATTATTTGGTTTCTAGCTCAGGTGCACCTGTGATGAAGACACAAATTTCAATTCTTGCAGCATACTTTCTCTCGACGATCGGTTTGAATGATGATAATCGAAGTGAAGATTTATGAATTTGAGTTCTGGTAATTATTGGAAAGGCATCTCGAATAATGCAGTCAATTATACGGAATGGGAATATAATAGGTATATTTTCACTCAATGATATTAACGGAATTTATGAATTATAATTGAAATTTCCGAATTGAAATAATCGGATAAGATAAATTAGGTTTTACTTGATGCTTAAAACCCGAGGAAAATTGCAAGGATGAGTGGCAAAATAATCCCGGAAATAACTTGAAGAATAAGACGAATTTTTTTTTTGCAATTTTTTGAAATGTCGGGAATATAGTAATCCGGAGAAAGACGCATTTTTCTCAATTGACCGACACTTCGTTTATTATTTATGAAATTAATTCTTTATACTGTATATATATTCCATGAACCTGTCTGATTTTCCTGAAGAAACAGGGTGGATTGAGGACGAGTACTTGAACAATTTAGAAATATTTCCCAATGCGAGGATAAACAGACCTGTTTCGCGTAGTTTTCCCGATTGGTCGTCCCCGTCACGGCGCCCGACGCCCCGTACAAACTCACGCCGCCGGCAGACGACAGCGTCCGTCGCCGGTGTCCCACGGCGCCGCTCATCTGAGCGACGCCCTTCACTCGTCTCACATCACCAGACACGTATCTACCGCGTAGGCTGGAGTCCGTGGCGGTGGTGTAGCCGCCACGAATGCCGCCACCGCCTCTGCTGGCTACTGGGACGATGACGAAGGAGAGTCCATCGGGCGCCGCGTATCGACCAGAAGGCACAATGGTGTATGTCGTGGTGGCGACTGCTGAGGCGCCGTGAACTGACGCCGTCGCCGTTGTTTTGTGGTGGTGGTGGTGGTGGTGGTGGTTCAATTGGTGCTGGTGGGGATTTGAGTAACCTTGGTGTTCTTGGCTTGCTTGCGATGTTGTTGCCAACACGAGCTGGAAACTCGGACAGGAATTCATCATAATTAGCAAATTACATCAGAGGGAATTAGCAAGGCAAACATGGATCGGAAAAATTAATGATGAAGTAGTGCCTCGATTGATACCCTTTATCCATTTCAGTCGGATATGCTGATTTATTGATTTACCATTTGTATACGATGATCCAAAACATCAATTGTGCGAATTTTTTCTTCATTATCCTTGTCCTACGATTTTTTTTAAAAGGTTTTATTTAAAAGTAATATTTTGAAATGAAAAAAAAACTTCGAGCGTTTTCTTTGTGAGTTATCGAAGTATTCAAAAATAATACCAATTATTTCCAAGCGGCCTATTTTATTCAGTCTCACCAGCACAGTTTTTTAAGATACTTTCGAAAATAAATAAACTATTCGAATTTTTCAGGATTTTTTCAACGAATTTTTTCTCGCATTTCACGGGAACATTATGAAATTCATCATAATTACCAATTAGATCAGTGAGTTAGGGCAAAAATGGAGCGAAAAAATGAATGATGATGTGGTGCCTCCATATTGGCACACCTCAAGCAAAGATATTGTGCATCCGAATGCTTTTCTGAAATTGTGTTTCTATCATTCCTTCATTTCAGCTCAATTAAGACGCCTCGCAATTGTAATGATGCAAGTAATTCGGAGAATTTTATTTTATGTTTACACCGACCATCTTCTCTATTATGCTCTTAATTCTGTAAGAGCATAATACAATAACCATCACTCGTGATATATTCACTGCACAAAAACACGAGCGATTCGAATTAACGATGAAGTCTGAAAACTTTGGATGAATGACTTATTTTTTCCTTAATTTTATTAGATTCCAAACTCACCAGCGAAACACACCAAAAACGCGACACCAATAATAACTCGACAGCACTTGTGGCCATTTCTTGGCCAAAACAGTCAATGAAAACCGTGGCGAAATATTATTTAAAAATACACGACAGTGAGTTTATCCGGGGAAAAATAAAAAAAAATTACATGAAATTTTTATAGGTTATATTGTACAGTACTTTAAAATGCAAGTTATTATTGGTATGACGTAAAAATAGAGATGAATCGGGGCATAATGTGTTTCACCATGAGATCTATCATTTGCCATTATTCTATCAACAATAAACGAGAGTGAGTCCATCCGGGGAAATAGAAGAAATTGCATAAAGTCTGTTCGACTTCCGGCGATAATAAGAAACCCGAGTCGAGGTTAACAGTCACACAATTGCTGCAGTCATCAAGAAGCAATCTCTTTTTTTTTGACAATCCGAGAAACGAAGAAGGGATGTAAAAAAAAAAACCAGGAGTATGATTTGGAGTGTGTCTATAACCCGTCACGGGTTAGTGCTTGCGTTCAAATGGTCCCCTTGCGAGGCCCGATCGTCAGCGACGTCGACGCTGACGTCAAGGCCTTCTCGGTTTAATTGCGCGTCGACCGGGTCTAGGTCATCGTTGCGGTAAAATTGGACCTATACAGGTATTTTTTTTCAATCCGGAGAAAGAGTATATTATTGTAGTAGTAGTGTGTGTGTGTGTGACCTTTGGCCTTGGGGCGAGGATGACGTAGGTGCCAGAGTGTCGAGTGGCGACTCGCTTCCGGATCCGGTCTTCCCACCACGGTGCCTGTTGCAAGCTGGGTGGGAGGGTTGAACAAGTTTCAGGAAATCTCCCATCATCATAGCGGTTATTTTTTATTTTTTGGAATCCTAGAATTTTTTTTCACCTTGATCAATCTCCTTGTTACATATTCCATGCTTTCTGCCAAATGTCTTTTATTGTGTTCAAGTCCCTGATTTTTTTTTTTAAACAGGGTCTTGATTATTTGTGCTCACATAGGTTGATTCTCTCTACAACAACTTGTACGTAGGTGGTAACTTGCAATTTGACCATAGTCTGTTGCCAAAATAGGGTCAAACAAATTGCAAATCGGTCAACGTTCAAAAAACTCTGTCTAATTCAAAATATAAGTACAAAAATGCAAACAAAAAAAAAGAAAAAGCAGGTTGAATTTTGGGGCAAGGGTCAAATTGCAATAAGTCAACCTCCCTGCAAATTTTACCATTGAATTGTGGGATGGTAAAATTGCAAGAGGCCAAATTATGTGAGATACCACCAGCAGTACCATTGTTCCCCAACCTGTGGTCTACGGACCTTAGCTGATCTGCAAAAGATTATTGCCAGTCAATGGGGAATTTTTAGCCTATAATGCATTTATTAAAAGTAGCAATGAACTCTGTTATGATGTAGATTTTGAAACCTTACTATTTGCGTCAACGTTAGTAAATTATACTTTTTATTTTCGAAAAAAGAAGAGGATTATTTTGAAACCTGTGTAAAAACGGACGACTTTATTTAATAAAGTAAAAAAATACTCTGAGGAACCTTTCTAATAGCTTTTTTTGGAACACACTCCGAAAAGTAATTATATGTCCACATCTTGAGGCCCCAATTCTACTGTACTGTTTTCATTGTTACTTTAAGATAACAAAACTCTATACATGGCATTTGATAATCTTAATATGACTGGCACATATAAGGTACACTAAAAAATTTTATTTAAGTTTTTACTACTGCTACTTACGTCAGGTTTTACGGAGTAATATAAATTTTGGTACTTGAAGTTGAAGGCAAACTCCTGCCAAAATGATTTGATTGAGTGGGATGACGATGAGTTCAAGTTCAAAAAATCACAACGTAGGTGTAAAAGTCTGCCTCTGCTCATCGTGACAAACACGGAAATAACCTTCTTATTCTGATACTGTATTTCTATAAAGAAGAAAAATGCATTCGTACAGATTTTCAAGATGTTTATTGCAATTTAAAGAAATGTTGCAATGATTGTGGGCCGGATAAATCTCAATATTGCTATGTTTCAGGCATCTGTTGAAAATGATACGGAGAAAACGTGTCTTCAAAATATTTTCTTTAATAAGTGTGTCTTGGGCCGATTTGAAGAAAAGTCGATGCAATTTATTTTTTTTAGATCAAACGTTGATTTAAATTTGATAAAATTGATCACCATGCAGCAAGTAATAAAAAATGCTTGTTTATATACCATCTTTCGGAAATCGTTCCTTGAAATTCGAAGAAAGTTTGACAATAAGATTCGGCATATGAATTTCAAGTGATATTTTATGCATTTGGTAGAGAAATTAAACACTGGGAAACTAGCCTTCAAGTTATTCAATGCACAATTTCATTGAGGACACACCATTAAAAATAACCCAGAAAAGTCGTCTATTCTTGATATTTTATTTGTGAACGTCGAAATTTGAAGAACGGTTGCCGCATAATTTTCTAAACAAAACATTCCACAAACTGAAAATTAAATTTGATAAAAGTGACCACGAAGAGAATTTTGCACTCGAAATATTTTTTTTCATTTGAAGAAACGAATTGAAAAATAATTATTTTACAAAAAGCTCTCAATTTATATTTTCTGCAATCGGATTAAATTAACTATATCTTACTTTATTCTCTCAGGAGACTCAGAATAAAAACTCGAGGCAAACATTTCCAAGCATATAATATTGCTAAAAATTTACGTTTTTCTCCAAAATTATACAGATAACCTCAACAATTTTCCAGGTATACTGTACTGTATATTTGAAGTCCAGTGAAGGAAAACAAAAGTTTTACTTTTCTCCTAATGCCCTGAGGACATCATTAACGAGAAAGACGCCCTTCCGATTCCGGAGCCATTCGAAACAACGGAAGTCCTTCCCGTGAGACTTGGTCCTCTCCAATTAGTTCATAATTATTCTGGATTGGGTATGATCTGATAATTATTGAAACCCCACCACTTTTTTCCTCAACTCTCGTCACTCTGTTCTGGAAAGAGATTGAAGGAGACAACAACAAAAACTTGGACTTATTCTGCCTCGAGGACGCAACTCTTCTTACGGCTTTTCAGAACCAGAATTTTTATTTTCGAAAATAAATTTAAATTTTTCTATACTGTACTTCTGTTGAGTGAAAATGATCAGGGATGATTCAATTGGGGATGAGATCAGTCGATAGAAAACCTGTAGGTACAGTGTGAAGTTTCGAAATTCGTATGCATTTTAATCTTTTACGGAATAAAATCAAATTTAAACATTCACTAAAATAGGTTTCTGGATTCGCGTCTGAAGTTGAAAATTGTCAAGAAAATGCCAAAACAAAGTTTCACAGTTTCATTTACCGCGAAAAAAAAATCTCAAGAGTCAGAGGAATATTCCTTGAAACATTTTTCTTTGCAAACTTGTTCGAATTGTCGAATTTGAAAACGTGAAAAATAAAGAAAAATAAATGGTGAGACTCTTTTTTAAATTCTGGATGATGAAAAATCAAGAGAAATCATCGATCAAGAGGGTGATGAAAAGGAATTCAAAAATTCAAATAAAAGACGAACCACGAGTTCATTAACGTGGTATACTGAACCACTTATTCAAAAAAAAGACTTTTGGATTCAAAAAATTGACGAAAATCCACGTGTAAAAAAGTTTGAAAAAGGGTAATATTTTGCCAAGTACCGTTTGACAATAAATTCTGTAATTGGACGACTTTTAAAGGATGCTTTAAAAAAAAAATATATATATATATATTCCGATTAAATCAATACATAAACTCGGGAATCCGGCATCTTTTCGTGTAACGCAATTCGAACATTTCATGTAGAAATTAATTCTTTCTGCAATTATCCAATATCACTTTAAAACAATTTTTAAACATCAGAGTTGAAGAATCCAAAGCATTCAATCAAAATTGAAAACCTTCCTTCGTCTATAACCCTCACATATTGTGACCAACAGCACGAACGATCAAATATCATAGGAAAACAATCAATCAAAATCGAATCAATCAAATTATCGAACCCACACATATCCATATACTCATTCGATTCGAGGGCCACAAAAACAGAAGCCTTATTCGGAAAATATCCCCCATCGCATTATTCGACACTCGTTCGTCAAATATCGTTCGAAGTGTGACGACTCTATCCCCCAAATTTATTCAACCAGACTTCAATTAACTCTAATTAAGACGGGTTGACCTTAATTACGTACCGTAACAAACAGGAAATGATGCTCATAAACTTCCGAGTGTCAATGCATTTTTCTCTCGTGACGATATTCGCTCGATTTTCAAAAACCAAAAAATAGCAGGTTCGGAAAATTTTCGCCGGGATAAAAAAAAAGTATTTCACAATTTTCTCTGCTGATTCAACCGCTCAATTAATCTCAGGCACCTGAAATAAACCAACCCAGTGACATCACGTAATCATAAAAAAAAAATCCAAAGCATCCTTGCTTCAAAAGAACAAGTTTTCTCGCTGGTATTTCTTCTCTGGATGGACGTGGAACCGAGGTTGTCGTAAATGGTGATAGCATAACACAGCAGCAATTACCCGTGAAGCAAATTTTATGACCCGGTTTTCATACCCCATGTCCTCCAGTGACAAAAGCCAACAGTGCACTCGAGAGAGGAAAGAAATTAACAACAAGGGTTGGTCAGTAAGTTCTGCAACTTTTTGTGGAACATTTTTCTGGGGACAGGAAAAGTTTCATAAATATTTTTTTGCAGGCACAAAAGTTTTGCTTGAAAGAGTTCATGGAATGTATTTAAAAAGATTCTGTATTTTTGTACAAAAAAATTTTGAAAATAAAAATGTGGGCTTATTTCTTTGCAATTGCAAAATTTATGAACCAACCCTGATACATAAAATGCCTCATTTAAAAATTACTCAGAAAATTGTGAAGTAGCATCTCTTCATTTTGGTGATTCCAATTTGATTTCCTCTGGTCAGTCGATTCCTTTTGTAATTGCTTTCTGCGAATAAAAATATAAGAAATGTGGTTAAAATACATTTTGCTTTTGTTGTACAAGTGTTGCTAGTAAATCTTATTTTTTT